GAGGCTGTATTTATGAATGTATGGATGTATGGTATGACCTCTGGTAACTCTCCCTCCCTCCCCCCCTCTCTCTCCCCTTCCCATACCACATACCTTACTCCAATACTACTCCAATGCCTTACTCCAATTGAGTCATCAGCGGCGTTGCATTTCCCCTCTTTGGGCATTGTTGTTTTGTTTTCTAGTTTGGCCTTTTCTTTCTTTTTTTTTTTTGTTTCTTTCGTTTTGCTTTCCTTTTCAACTCTCATTCCTCGCCCTTATCCTTTATCCCCCTCGCCTCCACACTTCTCTTCACTACCCCCCCCCCCCCCCCCCTCCCTCCCCACCTCCCTCTTTTCAATGGTGGGCGTTCTGCGAGTATTCACAGCCCGCATAATGTATCTATTCTGTAACAACTCGACTCCCTGGGTTGGTTGGTTGGTTGGTTGGTTGGTTGGTTACTTACTTGCTTGCTTGCTTGCTTGGCTTGGGATGAACTTTTCGTCCAATGATGTGTACAACAAGCGCAGCACTGGACTTCTTTCTTTTCTTTCTTTCTTCGCAAGCCAGCCGCCCCCGGCCCTTCCCTTCCCTTCCCTTCTCCCCTCCTCTCCTCTCCCCCTGGCCAAAAGTCAAGCCATGTCAGATCTCTGATCTAGATGCCTTAGTCAATGGAGACTTTGCAGCTTACCACGCATCCTTCCTCTCGCCCCCTCCTCCTTGTTGTAACTCCATGTAAGCAAAGTGGACATTGTAAGAATGGTACGGACAAGGAGGCAAGGTAGCAAAGCGAGGCAAAGCAGAAACACTGTACACTCACCCACTCACTCACTCACTATCTTGACTTGTTGTTTTGATAATAAATAAAAAACAGTCAGATCACGGTGGATCCCGTCCTCGGCTCGACTTTCCGAATGGCATCTAATAAAAATACCCTGCGCCTGAGCGATGAAGGCTGCAGGTAGTGACGACTTGATACGCCCTGTTATCGGGTCCTCCAGAACGTTCCGTATTAATCAACAAACGGTTGGGTTTTGGGGTTTTGGCTTTGGGGTTCTGGGGTTTCGGGCAGTGAACTCGAATATAGAATTCTGCCTTGTTTGCTCATCGTCCCCCAATCACGGGAGTGGCGCGACTTTCGGGATCTAACAAGCACCGAAGTCTTTTTTTTTTTTTTTTTTTTTTTTTCCTCTCCCACAACTTATGTGGATGATACTCAGGCCATCTTACGACCTTTCTTTTTTTAAATTTTTTTAAATTTTTTTTTTTTTTTCTTCTGCAAAGTTCCCTGATTACCGCGGCTTTATATCGAAGGGAGTTGAAACTTTGATTGGAATCTCCTTTATGACTCGCGAGCTTTGTATGTGAAAGAAAAGTAAAAAGATAAATAAAAAAAATAACACGCAACTCCCTCCCCCCCCTGGGATTTCTCACCGATAATCGGAGAGCGCGGTATTCGCGTTACGAGAAGTAAGGAGTTTTCCGGCCGGACCTATCTACATATCTACCCTTGGGCCTTACATCCATCCAGTATACAAAGGGAAGGAAAGGAAAGGAAAGGAAAGGAGCAAAGAGCCGAGCCGAGCCGAGCCGAGCCGAGCCGGTTCTCCGGGAACTGTGAACTTTGAACACACTTTATAAACCCCACGGATGACGAAATACCGTGTGATCAGATCCTCTTGCCCCCCACCACCACCACCACCACCACCACGACACACACACACACACACCCATATATACTCATATACTCATATACTCATATACACATACACACCATCGTCAGCTTCGGGAAATTTATACGACACGTTTTTCAAACTAGGAAAGTGCTTAGACACGTTAAGTGTTTTTCTTTGAAGATCCGGACGTATTTGATCCGGGCTAGAGGCGGGCGAAGCCACTCTAACTCGGGACGGGCCGTGCGGGCGGACGGGTGGGCGAAGTGCGAGGTGCAAAGTGCAAAGTGCAAAGGTACCCAAGTGTTTAAGACAAAAAGCCACGGAACGACGCCCAACGTGAGGGAGTGCAATCGGATTGCGTAACGGAACAAGTCCGTTGCCCCAAAAGGGACACTTGAGTTGAGACAGTCTTTTTTTTTTGACTCCGTTACGTTCTAATCCAGTTGTAACCGTTCGCCAACGATGTAAAGGTAGGGTTGCAATGGGCCTGTCAAAGGAGCCATGCTTCAAGACGGCGAAAAAGAGGAATTCGAGAAGAAAATCCCCCCCTGGTCCGTAAACCTAAAAAAAAAAAGTGCATGTCTCGGAATGTTGGTAGGTTTTAGGTCCCCTTGGAGTTGCCAAGAACAAACGAAAACGATTTGTTAACATATCTCCTCCGTGAGTCTTAGCACCTACCTATTCGGCATTACCTGCCTGCGTGGCATAACACATAGTTGCCTACAGAGGTAAGGTTAGGGTACGTAGACAGATAGACAAACCAGATTTCCCCCCCATGGCGATTCCGCCGGAGGCCGGAGGCGACTTCGGGGCTGACGGGCAATCATGCATTCTTCTCTTTTTTTTTTTTTTTTGTTCCCTGGTATCACTACATTAACTACATGAGAAGAGAGGCACGGAACGGGCAATAATGGGGCAATTTTCGTTTTTTTCATCCTAACCACTACAGGGTTTCATCGGCTCTATCGGGCCGGGACTTTTGATTTTTTTTTCCACATACCTTGCCTTACTCCTTACTCCCTACTCCTAACTCCTTACTTCTTGTATCTTGGCAGATAGATAGGAGTTGAGAGTAAGGTGGTAGGAATGCGGTAGGTATTGGTTAGGTTGAGTTAGGTTAGGTTAGGCTAGATAGGCATTGGATAAGCAAGCGGACAACCCTGTACGGGACCAGCCTGGAGTCGTCACCGTCCGGAACATCGATTTCTTTTTGTATAACGTCCTTGCTTTGCAACTACAACTACAACTGCAAACTGCAACTGCACTGCACTGCACTGCAACTGGCTCGGTCTACCGTATCTATTGGTCGGCCCGTTCCAGGGGGGGGAGGGGGGGAGGGGGGGGAGAGGGTGGCAGCTCGCTTATGACGTGTTTACTCCATCGGTCGGACCTTGCTGTATCTTATACAGCCGACTCGGCCATATTCTGGAGGGACACCCCTTCGCGTAGGGTTAGCGATTCGGTACACGACAACTTGCTCGTTGTCGATGTGGTTGTAAAAGAGGAGGTGAAGTGAAAGAGGAGGTGGAAGTGGATGTGGCCGACCAATGCGATGGGCCCCATTAAATTCTCGTTAAGCGCGGTTCTGGTGTGGCTGGTGGGTTATCTAGTGAAGTAGTGGGTGGCTAGTGGCCAGTGACCAGTGGCCTGCCCTACACAGGACATGACCCACACTAACCCAGGTAAGTAAGTACCTAGATACTTAGCTACATGACGGCATTCCTCCGTGCATATAGCTTGTAATCCGCACTGTAGTAACGACTCCAAATGACGAGGAGCAAACACCGATCATGATAAGCGAGCCCTACATCTTCAGGTTTTCGAACAAATCCTTAACATCTAAAGTACTCCGTATTGGCCAGGCTTCTCGTCTATGTGTATTTGTTTTTTGTTTTTCTTTTCTATTTCATTTACGAATAGCCGACGTAAGCGGCCTGATGGGAGACCGATTATTGACCTACACCTACACCGAGAGGCGCTCAGGGTAGGTCTCATGAGTTCTTTTGACTTCCAGGCTTACCGAGAACCGAGAAGGAGGGCATTTGCGCGCATTATGTCATTTCAACAAAGCCCGCGTGGACGGAAATAAGGCGAAACCCAACCATCTCTGATCTCGGATACGCGACGCGTGCCGCGTGACGCGTGGGTCATGATGATGATGATGATGATGATGATGATGATGTCTTGGGCCAAGGCAGACTTCGGACTAAGACGGACTATAACCTGTCCAGAATAGGCAGCGCTGTCGCAACCCAGGGTTGGACAAACAGCCTCATAGGCAATCGTATGAAGCTGAAAAAAAACTGGCCCAATATGAGTGCCGGAGGGGCTACCTAGGTCTAGTCAACAAGGGTTCGTTTCCCAACTAAGTAGGTGAGGCTCGAGAGATTGGTAGCACGGTCAGTCTCACATTCTACTGCTGCTCGAGACTTATTACCTCCATGAGACGGACGGGGCGAAGAAACACGAACATCGATCGTCCTTGGCCTCGCGCGTACGGGAACCTGCAGCAGCGGCTTGATGTGGTGTAGCTACGAAGTCCCATATGAAGCTATATGATATAACCCGTTTCCAAGATCTCATCAAGCTGCGGATTTTCAAAAGTGCATGAACAGATCTACGATGTACTGAAAGGGGGCAGATCGGATATTCTAACTTTGCCAGGGCTGCTGGATGACGCTTCTGGTTTCACCTCACGTCTCTATAAACGATAGTGATCAAGGCAGATCTATACGCCTGAATGGCTACATCGGTTCCTCCTACCTGGGCCCCGGGGTGAATTCTTGATAAGAAATGGGGGCAATTGGAGCGCTTCGTACGTTCGAACGGGTTGTGATCATGGGGACTGACCGGTCGGTGGTGACACGATGGGCCACGTCAACTATCACTACTGCCAGTTGTTGGTATCGTAGTCAACGGCGTAGTCCAGCATACCATGAATTAGCAATCTCCAAACAACGACGCAGAGCAAAACTAGAAGCCAATGATGCATCTCCACCGCAAGTTCATTCCCACTGTCACGGGCTTTGAATTTCCTTCTGAATGTATGTAAGTTTGATGTAAACTTTTTGCAGATCACGGCAGTTGACTGGCCTGTCGTAAGCACCTTGTCCTGGATATTTCCTTTTTGCTTTCCCATACACCGGTGACGGTAAACGAAAAAGCAAAGATCCGACAAAAAGACTTTCCTTACCAATAGTCAGCAGTTCACTGATCGAAAAAAAAAAACGGTGAGCCTCTCATCAAATGGGCCACAACCGAAGACCAACAAAAAAAAGAAAAAAGAAAAAAGAAAAAAAAAAAGATTGTGAAAAGGTGTGGATAAAAAAAAATGAAAAAAAGAAACTCTCGATCGGGGAATCGAACCCCGGCCACCTGCGGCTTGCTCATTCGGTAGTAATGAAACGACCAATTGACAAGCAGGTATCCTAGCCACTAGACCAATCGAGATTGGATTTGATTGATGAATATGAAAGTGGGTATCCGGCTTATTCTATCTACACGCCGAGAATCTCGGCCGGGAGCAAGAATTTAAACCTTAGTATCTTGTTTTCTGTCTCTTTTAGACTACGGCGCAGAGTCTTTAAGACTTGGTTTGAAATTTGGTTTGAATTGATGAGTGGGATTTTGCGTGATTATTTATACTCTAGTATCTTTTGGATGCATCGACGGCGTAAGAAGCACAGCGAACATCGCGACGCGCCTGTTTCTGTGGAAGGGATGCATCGCTAACAGAGACGGCGCTCTCGGTTCTGACGAGACCATGTGCATTTCCGCCGGCGAAGCTTCGCGTACGCAGGATTCGCGAAAGTTACAAGCTTTCTAGAAGTACCTAGGATGCAGAGCCTCGGGAATCGCAAGCCGATCGGGGCTTATTGTTATTTTGCGCCGTGAGAAAACAAGGTCGGACGCATCGTAAAGTAATCATGGAACTCGGGAGTTAAAGCCATTGCAACAGTCTGTCGAAAGGTTCAGCTCTCTAACGGACACTGAGAGGAGACAAGCTCTATATTCAGAAACACCTGGCATAACAGACTGCAATATAACCGTCAACGCTCGTCAATTACTCTAGGTAGTCTAATACTAAACAAATCGTCTCTCGTTGCTCTATATCCCAACGTGTACGGATGAAAAATAATTACCTCTCGAAAGATTTCCCATCCCATTAATCATTCCCGCGTAGCCCGATCCACGTCCCCATCTCTCTCCTAGATATCATCATCTCCCGACGCGTGGCGGCGACGATTCAAACCCTCGCTCTCAACCCCCAACTCCCCCTTCTCAGAGAAGCCAGTCCTCCCTTCCTCCGCAAGTCTCTCTCCACTCTTCCCATTCTCATCGGTGCTCTCCAGAACCCCATCCGCACCAGCCCTATTCCGGCGCTCCACCACATCCCCAGAGTCTCCCTCCGCAGCGCCGTAAATCCCGCCTACGCTCTCCATAGTAAACGCGCTAGCAGTAGGCTCGTCGAGCAACGAAAGTTCATGCGCCGTGAAAAAGTGCGGCATGACGAACGCGCGCAGCGGTATGAGCGCGAAGATGAAGATGGGAAAGCCGACGGCGGCGATAGTCTGCGTGATAGCAAACGTAGCGCCGAAGCCGACGAGTTGAACGGCCACGAACGCCCAGATAGCGCCGCGGCGCTCGATGCGGTTCAGCGGGTGGTTCGACGGCGTCAGCCGTTTGTCGCGTAGCAGGAAGAGTAGCTTTGCCGTTATCCCGTTGCCCGCGAGCGCCTGGTAGCCCATGATGAAGAAGAGCCCGGCTAGCACGGCTTGCGGGATCAGATGCAGGACGATGAGCAAAGGTCCGGTCGCGGTGCCCAGGGTTAGGAGGCCCTGGGCTAGGTTTGATACGCGTTGCTCCACGACGTGGGTTCGCTTGTAGGTGTAGTGGCCTTTGGATTCTGGGTTGCTCTCATCCTCGTCGGCTTCTACCACTGTCACGCAGAGTGATTCGGTGTGGAAGGGCGCTTGGGGGATCAGACCGTTCGGGAAGGGCAGGCCTAAGATGCCCGCTACGCCGGTGGTCAGACCCAGGAGGAATATGTCCCAGTGAAAGCCTGCCGGCTTGCGTAGAGGAAACTCTGTGCCTTGCGCGATGAGAGAAGAAACTATTTTTTTTTTTTTTGGTTAGCTGTTTTTACTTTCCTTCGAGATGGTTCGAAAGCGGAAAGCGAAGCTAAAGGGGTCAATTGGGCTCGGGATACTTATAACATACCATTGTGGTCAAACCAGAACAGGATCGTGAGCAAGATGGCAAACGGGAGAGCAAGGAACACCTCGCGGACCTCGATGTCCCAGAGCTCAACAAGCCACGGGCGATCCGCGGTGGGAAAAAAGGGGCGACTGGTCGGCAATCTTTCCACTTCGATGCCCTTCATGCGACCAAGATGTATGTAGCCGGTAAAGAAGATGACAGTAAGAGGCGTGCCGTAATCTTTCAGGAAGACACGCACAGGGTGACGGAAGAGCGTTGCGTTGCCCAGCTCACCACATATGTAGGCGATGGCGAAGACAAGCAAAGCCACGGACAGGGAGAGGTAGAAGGGCGAGCCTTCGAAGCGCTCCAGGACCTGGATGCCCTTTTGCAGGTAGATGAAGGCCACGTAAAACCCAAAGATGTCGCAGGGAAACCGGGTCACGTATCTGAGCCAGTTGCAGGAGTTCGTAATGGCCAATATCCAATGCAAGACCACAGCCCAAAGCCCGATCCAACACATGAAAGCCAGATAGTTTGTTCCTAATGGCGTGACGATATCAAAGACAGTACTAAAGGACTCGTTAGCACGACGAGAAGCGGAGCGAAGCCATGACACCCCTGAGCTTCCCCAACGTAGCCCGGGGAAAGAGGCATAGGACGGGGGGGGAAGATAATAAGGGGCAAAACGTACTAGTTGAACACGGTGATGGGACCCGTTACTCCTACAATCACGAGAGGCTGACACGCAATAATGGAGAAGACTACGGCGCCGAGTACAGACGCAAGGAGCACTTCATTGACGCCGTATTGCATGTGTGTCTTGGTGAACATGTCGAGACTGAAAGCCAGCGCGGGCAGGATGCTATCAATTCAAAGTCAGTTTCTATGATTTCGAGATAATAGATACGCTATCTGACAACTAAATCTGGCATGGCAACTCATGTCGACTGCGCCTCAGAGCCCATTGTTGGCTTATTACACCTCAAATAGATGTATGTAAATAAGGGAAGTCTCGGGAAAAGGTGCAACGAGGGGAGACGCAACGGAATAGGGGAAGCGGGGTGAGAAGCATACTTTGCAAAGTACATGTATACGGTAGCAGGAATCACGCGGTAATCCCACGCATCGAGCCAATCGCTCAAGTAATAGGGCGCGCGACGGCGGACATCGTTGATCATGCCGCGGAAGAGGTGTATCTTCCACCATCTCGGCGACGACCGAGCCGTTCCGGAACTCACCATGCTGCGGCGGTCGGTTGCACCGGTACCGGCACCGGCACCGTCACCGGCAGCGCCAGGATCCAGGTCCGTGGTCGTACTAGTGGCGGTGGTGGCCATGTGTGTGTGTGTTTCTTGTTTCCGACGGTGGCTTCGGGACTCGGGACGGGGGGAAGCGGAGGCGGGAACCGGGGTTTCTTGGTAGGTATCACGGAATCAAGACGCGACAGGTAGGGTGAGGGTCAAAGAATGAGACGGCCTAGATAGCAATCATGCGACATAGGTATTTGATCCTACCCGCAATTCTTCGGCAGATAATTCTCTCTCTCTCTCTCTCTCTCTCTCTTGGATCACCAGGAAACAGAAGAAGAATTTGAACAACTCAAAAAGGATAGAATATCTGCGTATCAAAAGAGCACATGAATCAATCCATACACTGTCGAACTGATGATGCGGCAGTTGTTCGGTAGCGACTGCGATAGGTAGATAGATCGATCGACTGGTAGCGGGCGCCCCCGTACAGATATCGGGTGGGTTTTTAAGTCTAAAAAGCCAGAATTTCCAGGGCATCCAAGATCAACAAAATCAGCTGCAGCCAAGTTGACCGTAACTCGATCGGCAGACGGAGTGCGGACACTTTACATTAGTCAGTTGGATAGCGGTAATTAACTACTTAGATAGGTAGATAACTAGTCGCTAAATACCTAAGTAAGTAAGTAAGTAGGTAGGTGACATTAGTTAATGGATGCCTATCACAAACCTTGTAAATTTTCAAGTTAGGTATCTAGGTAGGTACTGGTTCACTAAGTAAGTAGGTAATTACATAAGTAGGGGATGACAAAGTCGGTGACCAAAGGGCGGTAATCAGTAGGTAGAGGTAGTTAGGTAATGTTGTATGGAACTCTCAAGACAATTGCCGTGTAGTCTCATGGATTCTTTTTGAGTTGTTTTCTCGTCAATCAAAATATCGGGTAAAGAACTATCTATCTACCTAATTACCCTACTTGCTCTCTCCCATCTCCCGTCTTTCCTGCTTCGAAGCGGATAAGGCATGCACTCCTTACATCGTGCCTACCCGCACGCACGTATACGCAAACTACTTGCCTACCTACTTACTTACCCACTTACCCACTTACCTACCTAAGTACGGTAGTCTAATGCCATAAGTAAGAACTACCCGGACTATACTAGCGCAGGAACAACTACCAGTATACCTAGGTAGGTACCTGACGAACTGCATCGTGCACATGTACCTATTCGCAGTCTACCGGTACCCACTTTGCCGATAACTCAGTTAGGTTTTCAATTTGTAAGTAGAGTCGTACTTTGATAGATTGACTCACCATCTCGACACCAACTTGGCTGGAATCTCATCAGTGAAATCATGTCATGTCCACAGTCCTGGGAACATCGCCAAAAAAAAAAAAAAAAAAACCCCGATGTAGTTCTACCAGGTAGTCTGCCTAAGTTAGAGGAGAGCACATTCACGTGGTAGTCTAGGGAACAAAATGATTGGGATGGAAGATAGTTAATTAGCGCCGGATTCAGAGACCCCGCGCTAGACCCAAGTGAGCCAACAAAAATGATCCCGGGCAGAATTTCGATTTCGAAATTCAAACCTCAATTAGGTAACTACCTAGTTAGGTACGGACACCAAGTTGTCAATGTCAACACTGTCAACCACCGAGATCAGGCAGACGAACAAACGAATACCTAGGCAAGACCATGATCATAGCCCACAAATCGTTAATAGACGGCATACAATCACTTCTCCCCTTCACATGTGTACGTAGTAATCAAAGTGCCTCCGCTCGCCGAGCAACTTGGCGCCGACTCTCGAATAGGTACGTCCGTACACCACCTAGGTTACATGAATGAGCGACCATATGGAAATAGGGTAGGTACCTACTTGGGTAGAGCACGGCTAACCGGCTGCGTAGACTCACGACGCAATAGGTAGCAACTACTAAATGATGGCCCCGTCTCCAGTCCAGAAAGAAGCAGCTTTTTAGATCAGCAAGAACCGGGTTT